GAGGAGAGCCCCAGCCGTGACAGTGCGTTTGGCCTGTAGACCTGCTAAAGTGTTCTGAAGCAGGAATTGGCTCTAGATCATTTCCTGTATCAGCACTGTTACCACTGTCCACATCTGGTTTTTGTAGTATCCTTTCGAGTTGAGAGGGTACAAGGAGCAGTGGTAACAAGCACAGACTCAGGAGACAAACTGCCCAGGTTTGCAAGCCCGCTTCTACCATTTACCACCTGCATGGCCAAATCACCTACCCACATATAGAGGAAAGAGCCTCAGTAAATCTCTTGAGTTGTCTCCTCCAGTCTTGGAGAAAATCCTAGAATAATGGGATTTACTCCATTTGGGCGCCCCCTCACCAAGGGCTGAGCTTACTCCCCAGATAGTTACTGCAACCATTTCCTCCCTCTGTCTCTAAGTTACTATTAGGGACCTGGTCTCTCAAAAGTTCTTCCTAAATGGCTAGGTGTTTCGTTTCCTCCTTTCCCTTTTACTATGTACTAGACAAAAAGATGGCAAAGCCACTCTAAAAAGAGGGGGGAAATGTGTCATTTTGTCAAGATCACAACTCAGTCACAAACCTCATCTGGACTCTTAATGATCCACCATGTTTATGAGGTAGATCGTTGCTATGATGACATTTCAATTTAAGCCAAGGGAAAGCACAAATGCAACAGCAGAATCCTAAAATGTTCACCAACCGTCAGAGGTACCTGGAGCACTCTGTCTCAAATCACAGAAACCACAGAGGTTGGCACGATTGCTTTGGTCTCTAAGGCACAAGAAGGTCAATAAAGGGCTCTTTCCTAAGGCTGCCGGGGCTTCGGTGAGCCTGGGGTTGGACTACCCAGTGTGTGGTGCCTGCGTGTCCCTCTGTGCAATGCGTATTCACGTTCATAGATATTGACAGCTACGTGCCAGCTACAGATGTAAGCACTATACATGCATTAACGCATTTAATTCACAAAATAACCAACTGAGATAGATACTATTATTACCCCATTTCACAGATGAGGAAACTGAAGCCCCAAGAGGCTATAACTTGCTCAAAGATCCACAGTGCGAAAGTAGCAGAGCCAGGGCACGAATTCAAGAGGCTACACTCTTAATTAACCACTTCCCCAAATCGTCCCTAGAAATTTCAGATATCATTTTCCTCAGTGTATATTATAAGAAAGGTCACAGGCATCTAACCATCTCTGAAGAGATGATCTGGGTCTCACCACCTTTACCTGCACCTGAAAGTTCACCTTTGGGGTTCTCACCTGGTGGAGGCCGAGACACAGCTTTTTATTTTGGCCTTCCTGTCACTCTTTCACAAGGCAAACTGGGGCAGAAGCCCCCAAAGCACCAAAGAAGCTGTGTCTCACAGCCTTTTATAGGAGACATATCAAATCTCTGGTCCACTGGCTTTTTCTTTTTTTTTCCATTTTTTTTTCTCTATTTTCTCTTTCTTTCATAGGACAAAAAGTATATGAGCTGAAAGAACAAATAATGGCTAGCAAGGGGGAAAGGAACAAAATGAAAAGCGGAGAAAGGATTAAGATTATATTAAAAAGTAGCTACTAGTCATCAGAGAAACGCAAATTAAAACTACAATGAAGACACCACTTCCCAACCATGGGGGATGACCCAAATGAAAAAGATAGATAATAACAAGTGTTGACGAGGACGTTGAGAAATTGGAACCTTCATACACTGCTGGTGGGAATGTGAAATGGTGCCGTTGCATTGAAAAACAATCTGGCAGTTCCTCAAAAGGCTGAACCATATGGTTGCCACGTGACCCGGAAATTGGGTCACATACTCATTCTTAGGTATATACCCAAGGGAAATGTCCGCACAAAACTTCTACATGAATATTCATAGAATTATTATTTTTAATAAACAAAAAGTGAAAAGGATCTAGATGTCCATCAATTGATGAACAAATAAAATGTGGTGCATACATACAATGGAATATTATTTGGCCACAAAAAAGGAATGTAGGACCGATACATGCTGCAACACTGATAGACCTGAAAATACTATGCCAAGTGACAGAAGGCAGTCACACAAAAACATCTATTACACGACTCCATTTGCATGGAATATTCAGAATAGGTAAACCATATATAGAGAAAGAAAGTGGATTAGTGGTTAACTAGGTTAACTAGGGCCACGGGATTAGAGAGTAACGAGAAGTAACTGCTAATGGCATCTGGTTTCTTTTCAGAATTAGTGAGGAGGGCTGTAAAAGCCATTAAACTATACTTGAAATGAGTGGAGTGTACGACATGTGAATTGTATCTCAATAAAGCTGTCATATTTTAAGTAAGATTTAAAAATGGTTTAGAAAGTAAAATTTCTAGTCTTTGTGAATGAGAAATCAGAATTGCAGAAATGGCAAAACCCCAAATCATTTAAGAGGGAAAGGGGGACAAAAAGAAAGGCTATACAGAAAGGAGAATTTCCATTCAACTGAATTCCAAGATAGTGGGTGTGCTGGGTCATATGACCCCAAATGCATAGCTCGTATATGATGGGTTGCATAATTCTAAATTCAGATCTTTTCCTCACCCGAAAGCCATCAGTTCCAAAAATAAAGGATTTAGAGGAGAGGTGAGATTTTTTTTTTTTAAATGCAAAGGCTGATATTAACTTTTTAGAGACTCTGAATTAAAAAGCGCACAAAGGTAAGGATTCTCTGGTATACTGAATCCCATGTTCGTAAAATAAGAATATTTGATTAGCATCTAAAATGTATTTCCTAAAATGAATTTAGAAATCTGACTCAAATTTAACTAGAAAAATTAAAGCCCTCAAATTCTGGAGTTAAGTGTAAGATATTCACAGCCAGACCAGCGCTGGCACTGTTTGAGATTCAGGCTGAAGAATTTAAGAGTAAAGTGAAGGGTTCGCAAAGCTACACAGTCATGCATCTCCTTGTAATGAGACTTAAGCAGAAATCGATGCAATCTTTGAGTAAAGTGAATAGTCTCCTAATGTGGCAATATATCAAATGATACTATGGAAGTTTCATGACTATTAGCAGATACAGCATTAAAACATTTTTTAAAACAGAACAATTAAGTAGCAGAGAATTTCCTTTACATCTTTTAGTCTTTAACTTTCAAACTATTACTAAGCCCTTTACTCCACTGGGTCTTAAATCAAGCATCATTTGTGCAGAAAATCAGCTTACTGCTTTCTTTAAAAACAGGCGAGCCATTAATTGATCCAATGTGTTGGCAGTTCTGGAGAACCCTTTTAGACAGGAACAAATGATGCCTCTTAGTTTGTGGAAAAGAAGCCAAGTTTAAGATTCCATGCATGTGCACAAAGAAACATTTAAAGAATCCTGCAAAATCAGCCAAGGAGCTTCTTGGCAGTTAAAGGACAAAACAAACAAAACAAAAATAAACAAAAAACTTCCTTCACCTCCCAAAGTTTAAATATTAAATATGTTTATTTAAAGATACTTCATATGACTTAAAGTGCTCTTCCATAGTCCTTAAATCCTTGAATATTATAATTTAAATAGTGCTCCTATGACTCAAGGTCATAGTATAATCTCTTCCCCTACAAAACTGTTGAGCTCAAGAAAGTATAACATATGTTCCTAAATGCACGATTGTAACCTTTCTAAGGAGTCTGCTACCTCCCCACCTCTTCGTTAATTAATGTACTGCATTTTTCTGGCCTGTCAGAAGCATTGAACTGTCCCCACCCCACTCGTTTGTGTTAAGGTTGACAATTTCCTCTTTTAAAACACCTGTGATGATTACAAGTGAGGCAAACCACTTGTATATTTCACTAACAGGTGACATGAGCTCTGGGAATGAAAACCCGTCCCCAAAGAATGCACCCCCCATCCCATGTAGCCAAAGCTTGGTGTTTAATTTCAGTAGTGTAAGTGTTTATTACAATCTGGCTTTATGAAAATAATGTTTTTGATGAGGCAACTCGAGTCAGAAATACATCTGTTATTTCGACTCCGTGCTTTTTCTTCTGGATGTCAATCATGGCCTCAACCCGGGAACCCCTCTATGTATGGATGGAGGGCCCACTTTTCCGGCACATAGAAACAAGTAGCAACCCTGGGCTCCAGGAGGGGAGTCTGCTAAATCTAGCTGCTTGCGCTGGCATGCCTGGAAAGGACTTCTTGTTCTTCCTGCCACGGAAGCATTGCTATGTCAGTCATGGAGCAAATCGCGAGTTTTAGGGCAGTAACATATTTCTAGTTTCGGCACCTTGCGATCATGAAGAAAAACATTCTTTCTACCCTGAAATCCTCTCATTCTCACAAGCAAATCTTCAGCATAATTAACTTCCTAACCAAGCAAAGGATAATGCAACACTGTAAAGTAAATATAACTTTATTGGCCACCATGCTCTTCTTGGCTTGGTGAAGATTATTATTATTTACCATCGTGCCTTCCTGTCAGCTTCTCCGGATGAGAGCTTGGCAGAGCACAGGGCTTTTCTTATTATTTATAACGTGTGTCAACTCCACTGGGGGTGGGGGGGGGGACTCAATCTTCCACGAAGAACTGAAACCTGACTTCAGCAAGTTCGTACCAGAAACCCTACCCCACCACCTGATACACAAACGCCTGCATGAGGTGTATACCTAGAGCACACGGCCGAGCGCAGAGCTGTTATCGGATCTACCTGTTCCAAACAGGTGCGGGGCCGGTCACTGACCGAGAACAATATCCGAGTCTTGCCCCGCAAACCCCATCTTTCAGGACCTCCCTGGAGAAGTTAGCCCACCTCGGAGTGCCCTCGTCCGAGCGGCGCTAAACTGAACACACCCTTTTTAGTCCCCCAACACGATTAGCTCTCTCTTCTTTGTAAACCCCGCGAAGTGACGCACAGCAAAACTTAGCAGGTCCAGGGAACAGAGACGTGTCTTCTGCAAAGCACAGACTTCCCGGAAAGGAGCCAGGAGCCGGGTGCGGGATCCTTCTCCGCGCCCCCATCCCCGCGCGTTCCCCTCCCCCGCGCCCGTCGGGGCCGCTCACCTGCATGGGACATGGTGATGGTCTCGTTGGTGTTGGAGCCCACGTTGAAGATGACCACGGCGGAGGCGTTCTGCAGGAACGCGTTCCGGATCTTATCCCTGTACGTGCAGTTGCCCTTGGGGATCAGGGCTATCCAGTTCTTGCCGTGGGCGGGGGCGGCGAACTTGGTGTTGGGGTCGCAGGCCAGGCGGTCGTGGGCAGACGTGGCCATGACCACCTCCCCGCGCGCGTCCTGCTTGGGCGAGTGCTCCCCGTAGCGCCCACACTCGGTCTTCTCCGAGCGCAGCTCGG